CAATCCTTTCTCAAGAGTTAGAATCAGAGAGCTCTCCAAGCTATGGGATCAGTGTACATGGCACCTCTGCAATCCTCTAACTTACAGATCTGATTTTAGCATTGCAGGCATCTTCATTCTCCTTTACCAGAGAGAGAGAGACAGTGCATGTGCATGAGGGAGAGACTCTAGGAAGTAAAGAACAAAAGAACAGAAATTTGAGGAAAAGCTACTCAAATGTTGCTGGTAGCAACTCAGCTGGAATATGACTCCACGGTATAACATTCACCTTTTAAATACCTGATGGAGATTGACACACTCTTCTTGGCAGAATAGGAGGTGCTAACATGGCTTAGACAGAGCTCTCTAAAGAGAAGTAAGATCTGCCATGTCCCAAACAGGTGTGTTCTGTAGGAAATCAGTGCAGTGGGTGGGGGTGGCAGCAGTTTCTCACACAGTACAGACTCACTTTTGAGAGCACAGAAAAGGCATCCTTGTGCACACAGCTTGTGCACAGTCATCCTGGCTCAGGCATTTTTACACAAACAGCCTTATCTCACTCAAGGGTATAAACTTCCTCCACAAATAACAAGACAGTACTGCAGGTCTGCTTCAGTTTAGCTTTCACATACTGAGCACTGAGACAGGTACAGGGATTGTGCAAGGCTGGCTATTTCTCCCAGCCTAGGCTGCTCGCAGAGCTCTGTATTTTCCCTATATATGCATTACATTCAGATGCACAGTAGGCTGCCACAAACTTGGTCTCCATCAATGTACCATGTTATTTTAGGGTTTTCTATTTTTTTTCCTGTTGTTTACTTCTTAAGTAAATTCATTTTCCTAAGATATGGTGCCTAACAAACTGACTATCCAAGATATGCCTCAAATACCAGAATACATTAGACTGCAAGAAGGCCCTATGGTGATTTGCTAATTAGCTTAACCCTTTTGGGACAGAGAAGAAGGAATTTTTTATTAAAACAGGATAACCCTGGACTATATTGATCTGACTGAGAAATGAGTATTTTAGTCAAGATGAGTCTCAAGATGAGCACATGCTGGAAACAGCAATGTTGTTTCCATAGCAATGCCATGACAGCCTCTAGAGTGAAATAGTGTGCTACCAGGAAATGAAGGGAGTTCAAGTGCTATGAGCTACATAGTTCTGTGAGCAATCCAAATACATTCTCATAAAGAATATTTAGTGCAGCTAGATAGTCCAAAGATTGCTGCTAATGGCAAATAAGCCTTATCAGTATGCTCCTGGCAGTCCTTTTTTCTCATTCATTTCACCCAAGATGACTATCTAAAGACTTAAGCTATGGGCAACACTGCTAAACCATTTCAGACCAAACATTAACAAATACAGCAACCCTTACCTTACTTCTTCTTTTCCAGTGCAGAATATCATTCCTAATTAAGGTCACTGACTCTCGCTCTCCCCAACACAACCAAACACATTAAACCTTTTATTGAAGAAAATCCTAGTATGTGCAATTATTTACCAGGCTAACCTTCCCCCCTCCTTTTCTCTCACCTCCTCCTCTCCCTTGCCTCCTCCTGCCCAAACAATACAGAGCAGATCCATTTCCAAGTGGGAAGCAATGTAAAGAAGTCTTGCATACTCCTCATTAAATTTACACAGGCATAGCATAAACTCACTGGTCTGCTTTTCACCCTATCTAATGCTTGCACTAATACAAAAGCAAACCAGAAAAGCACTAGTTGTAATTTACCAGCCTAAGGCTTTACCTAAAGTAAATATTCTGGTCAAATTCTGCAAAGCTGATTTAAAATATTTTCCCAAAGACTACAGAAAGAGAATTACTTTAAGATCTTCATTTTTCTGTATTTTCAAAGAAATGAAAAATTATCAGTGATTTGTAAAACTGGTAAAACTGTGATCATAACCAAACTGTTCTCAAATTAAATGCTGCAGGGCAAAGTATTTTACTTGTAAAATACCTAAACATACTGCTGCTCATTCAGTCTTTTCTCTAGCATTTCTCGTGCAGTTTGTAAAGATGTTCAGACATGAAGTGAATGTCCAGAAACTCTACCACTGTATTTGCTGTTTGTGTCATTGTCACAACCAGCCTCTTGGGCAAACAGACTGTAGGTCATTATATTGTAGCAGGGCTGCCTCTGAGGGAAAATCGAAAGACAAATACTCATCCCTGCCAGATCCCTTATTAACAAAATCCACTTCAAACCAAAATGCTTTCTATTTACTGTTTTAAACATGCATTTCAAGGAATCAAGCCTTGAATGTAAAACAGCAAGATGCTTCATTTCCCATTTGCATTCAGTAAAAAGATGTGAAACAAGCATTTTTAAAACAGCCTCAGCCTCCTCCTGCCTATCCCCATAAATGTGTTACAGAAGGCACCAAGCCCAGCAACATTCATTTATAATTTAAACTGTTTGCTTGGCAGAATTTTTTCACCTTAATATGTCTAGTCTTAATTGCAACTGGCACACCCACTGATTTTACCAGAAACTCATCTGCTTCCAGGAGATTTTTATGTAAGTTGTTTTTCTGTAGGACAAAAATGCAGTTTCAGGGACAGATATTGTTATCCATGGAAAAACACATCCCTGCCATTTTACAAGACGTACAGGGCTCTGTATGGACAAAAAGATCCCTGTCAGGAGACTGATGCAAGTTTAACTTACTCATCCCCTTCTTTCAGTTATGGCCTCCCAGTTAATTCCCCAATATGAGCAATATTCTGTAATTATCTCACCTTCTCTTGGAGTATCTATGTCAAAATTTCTGTTTATCAAAGAATTAAGTAAAAGTAATCTGCCTGATCACCTGGTTTTGACAACTGAGTACAGACAGGTACAGCTTATATTGTCTGAAACAGTAGTGGGTCTTTAACTCAGCCTACTCTCCTGAATACATACAGGTATCCAGCCACAAAAGCCAACCTGCTGCCACCATGGGCACCTTAGCAGGAACATTTTGCCCCTAGAATTGATTATCCCATTACCTAGTGTTATCTCCTGTCACTGCTTGAACTCTCTCATCACAGTCCTCACAGATTTTCATTCAAGTGCAAAAGAAGCAGCAATATCTGTATCCCAATCCAAGACAGAAATCCAAGTATCCCAAAGCCACTGTCTCAGACACAGGAAAAGTTTCCTATCCTAAAACTCAAAAATACACTCTTAATTTCCCTCTCATGATCATTCTTAGAAAATACTCAGAAAATGAGTGTGTCACTATAAACTTTATCATGTTTTAAGAGCTAAATCTATGAATCAATCAGAAACCTTCAAAGACATTTTATCAGTACATACTCAACTTTTGATCTTCCCCAACACTCAACCACAGGAGTGATATAATGCTTGAAACAAGGTCCACACAGCTATTAATTTACTGCTGATATTTCTGTCAGTAAGCTCTTAGCGTGGCAAATGGCACTAATAATTCATGTTGTCTTCATGAACTATAATAATAACTATTTACTTGGTTTTTTAAACTTTTCAAGAACATTTGTCTTGGCAATCCATAGATTATTAAATAGCTTTAACACAATAAAAGGAATTGCCAAAGGCAAAGCTTTATCTTCCATAAGCATTCTGGAATGTGATCTGGTGATCACACACAGGCATACAGAGGTTACTGTGCTTGGCCTGAGCCACTGCTCTGCCTTACAAGAGGAGGACACACAGCAGAGGAGAACACACAGCAGTCACATGCAAAAGTGTCCAGGACAGAGAGAAGTCTGGAGGGTGAATCTGCTGTGAGGAGGACACTGTCAGAGCCACACTGCTACTCCAAACAGCTGTGCTGGCAAATAATTATGATCTGTCTTATCTTACTAAAGAATGAAAGTACGGATGCTTGGATATTAAGACAGACATAGGTGGGCTTTGAAGTACCACGTAAAAATTGTTCCTAAATAAACAGTCATATTAAGGAGGGAATCTATTAAGCTTGCTTAATCTATACGGGTGAAGGACAGAAAAGCACTAAGAGTTTGGAAACAAATTGAGGAGATAGATATTCAGATATACAATCGCCAGGGTAAGAGCACCTGTCACTTGACCCTGCAAAGGTAATTCTTTAAGGACATTAAGCATTGCTTGATTTAAAGATCATTGTTTCCTGTGACATTAGCAAAGGATGGGTTGAATTTCAAAGATGACCTGGCACACAAAGGAAGAAATAGAATCACCAGAGACAGGGAGAACACCCCATCACATTGGTGCCCTCTCTGAGGAAATCTACCCCAACAGGACTTCACTTTGACATCTAATAGCCCCTCATATAAACCCACAGAGACATACTCTTCTAGCTCCTTTTGATGGACTCAAAAAGAAATCACCAAAGGAATACAACATTCTGACCTGTCCCCATAACCTATTTCTGTTCTTACCAGTCTATTTATGTTCTGCAAAACACAGAGAATCACTTTTCTTGGTTACATTCTCTTTTGCTCCCCCTCCAAGACACCCTGTTGTAGTGCAAGGGGCAGCCTCACAGATGGCCAGAATGATTCCACAATGGAGCTTCCAGGATAACACCAGCACTCGAAACATCAATGCCTGCATTAATCACAGATACAACTCACACAAAGCAGCTGAGCCTCACCCCCAAACTGTGCACCTCGGGCATCAGGGCTGTGGAAAGCAGGATGATGGAGAATGGGGGGCAGGGGCAGGGTAAGGACTGACCTTGCAGCAAAACAAGGTGCAATAGCTCAGCATGAAATGTCTTCAGGATATGACAGTACAGAGTATTCTAGACAGGTGGATAGTTACCATTCAGCTGGCATTTGTTTCCTATTTAAATGTCTTTAACCAACACCATTATTTTTTATATAAAATTCCCTGATTTTTTCAATCTCTTAGCTGTCTCTTACAATATCCCAACATTTTCTGTTACAAATGCTGCAGGGATTCTGGTAAGTAGAGGTATATTTTAAAACCTGCAGAAAAATATTTTAAAATAGTCCTGTTAAGCCCACTAATAACATGAACACTGAGCAAGGAATCACAATAAAGGATACTGAAGCTCCTATCTGTGATAGCTAAATGCCAGAGGTTAATCCTGAGATCATCCGCTGACATGTACGTCTCACAGTCACTGTTGACGGATATTGAGTTGACATGATAGGTGTGACCATTAGCAAAGATTCTCCTGGGAGTGACTTCCACCATCAAATCCATGGGTTTCAATACAGGCACCTGCCAAAAAAAAACCCAAAAACAAAACACAAACCAGAGAGAGAGTAAGACTTGAAATACCGCTTAGGATGATGAGAATTCCAATAGAGAGAAAGCATTCAAAGACTGTGATATTATAAACCTAAGAACTGTCACATGTGTTCGACTTGATCCCCATGGATTAACTGCTGGGCAAGGCCTTCCTTGCTAAGCAAGAAAGGAGAGACCAGAGAGGCAGGCAGAGTGATGGAAAGCCTGGACTGTGGGAAGGGAGGGACTGTTCCTGACAGAACAGGTCAGTCCCACTGCACGACCTACTGGCCCACATGTGCAGAAGGCTCTGTCAAGCAGTGAAGCACTCATATTTTGCTTTTGCCAAAGGGTTTGCCCTTAGTTATGAATCACTTAACTCTATTTCTTTTGCTACTTGATGTTTCTCTTTCAAAAATCTCACATGGAGAAAAGGCTGTAATCTCAGAGAAACATAATAAATAAAGGCTTGCAAAACAAAGCCAACACGACATACTGTACATACACATGTACCCCCGAAAAGCCAATATCACAGATTATCACTTGTCAATGTGCCCTCATTACCTCCCTGTGTGTCACTTCAAAGTCATGCTTCAATAGGTAGACACTCAATTTTTTCCCTATCAATAAAGCATTAAACAATGTAAAGCTGTGGTCCATGACTGGGACTATTCCATGTTGTTGAACATGCATCAGAAACAATCTATCATACATCAACCCACAAGGTAGTCTAAAAGAGGAAAACAGAGTTTGAGTTTGAAATATTTGGGTTTCACTTTCTACTCAAGGAACAAAACAAAACTCAACTTTTGAATACAGAATCACAGAATATGTCAAGTTGGAAGGGACCCACAAGGATCACAGAGTTCAACTCCCTGAACAGCACCATCCCCAAGAACCACACCATGTGCCTGAGAGCAGAGTCCAAATGTTTCTTGAACTCTTCCAGGCTTGGTGCTGTGATCATTTTCCTGGGGAGCTGCTCCAGTGCCCAACCACCCTCTGGGTGAAGAACCTTTTACTGATATCCAACCTAAACCTCCTCTGACACAACTTCAGGCCATTCCCTGTCCTGTCACTGTCACCCCAGAGAAGAGATCAGGGCCTGCCTCTCCACTTCCCCTCAAGAGGAAGCTGAGTTCACAGAAAATTCTCAGACTATAAGCAATCTGGAATAGTATTGTTTGCCTAATCATACAGAATAGATAAATATTCCATTAATGTAGTCATATTTACATTATAGAAGCTTTTTTCCCCCACAGACTTGTTGGGTTGTTTTGTTTTCAATAATAAAGACATACTAGTGTTTACAACACAGCCGTCCAGCTCTAACCTTTAGCCACTTCCTTTGCCAAAACACCTGGAGTGAATTCAGCCAAAAAAGTCTGAGAGCAAAAATCTACATTAACATGTGGATGATGGGTCTCCTCTCCAAGAAACAAGTGACAGGAGAAAAGTAAATGGCTTTAAGTTGCACTGGGAAGATTATTATATTATAATTTGATTATATCGGTTATTATATTATAACTGGATATTAGGAAAGATTTGTTCACTGAAATTTTTGTCAAGCACTGGAAGGGGCTGCCCAGGGAAGTGGTTGAGTCAGCATAGCTGGAGGTATTTAAAAGATGTGTAGAAGTGGCACCTGGGGACATGGTTTATTGAGTATGGCAGTGTTGGGTTCATGGTTGGACTTGACCTCAACAGTCTTTTCCAAACTAAATGATTCTACAATCACATATGCTTATATGAGTTCCATGATTGCATCTTTTCAGCAATGCAGATTCTCAGGTTTACCAGACCACAGACTACTGCAAATCCCACTCTTAAAATATTTTTTTATAAAACCAAAAAAAGATGAAACTGAAATTTGGTGTACTGTCTTTAACTCAGTTGCTCTGAATGTGGCAAGAATCCTGTTCAAAATTAATTACAAATAAAATGCTTCCAGCACAAGAGGTTAAAGAACCTTTTATGAAAGCACATTAAATCACAATAAGAGAATTTTATCAGGAAAAATAAAACCAACATGAACTCTCAAAAATACTTATTTTGGTCAGCATATCTTAAAGCATTTGTGACTTGCAAATATGTGGCAGATTCAATACAGTTAGCAGTCAGCTAAAGCTTAAGTTAGAATTATCATATAAATACTTAGCATTAGGTACATATTAAATCTTTTATGGACTTAGCACTACCTTTTTCATACAGAAACAACTGAATTTTGGACATGGACAGAAGCTTACCTGCAGTGATGTTACTGTAGAAAGATCTTTAAGCTTTCCTTCTTCATCTTTTAAGTTGTACCCCTCCGGTCTCTTATCTCTTTCAGTAATTTTCCACAATTTGATTGTTTTATCTTTAAAAGAAAAGACAAGCAACTGTCAGCATAGGAATTCTGAGTGCAGTTATTCACCTTTCACAATATATTCCTTAAAGAAGATTTTACACCTTGGTTTAGACAAGTCCAGTGCTGAAATAGTCTGGGTCACTTCATTCTGCACATCCAGAAAATGTTGCCCACAGACAAAGTACTCATAAAGCACATCCCAGACCTTCACACCCAGTCAGGGGTTCCTGGCAGCTGACAGGCTGTGTGGAGCATGCAGAACACATGCTGCTCATGAATCCAGCCTGGCAGTTTGCAGGTGGAACAAGCCCAAACTACTCAATGCTCACTGCTCAGTTTATCAATTTGACCTCACAAGGAAATAATGTCAATATTAAAACCAGTTTGGCGCTAATGCCAGTTTGCTAGGTTACTTATAAACAGCACAAGAACAGCATGGAGTACACAGCCAGACCAATGCCCACCGGGGGAATGGGCAGTGGTGCATTGGTGTAACTTCAGGAGCTCCTGCAAATGAAAGGCTATGTAAAAAATGAGGTATTTCTCCCTCCTACTAGAAAGCAGCTGAGAAAAAGACTGAGTTAAAATAAAAAAAAACCAATGAAACTAAGGCAAATGTGTTGTGATGGCAATAGAGAGCAGTGAGGAGAAAAATGTATTAATCCTAATGGACTAAAATCTAGACTCTTCCTTTCTTATGATGGGTGAAGCCCATGATGAGAGAGCAATGATGTCTCTCAGCAAAGAGCCTCTGAAACCAACAAACATGTTTTAAACACTTCAAATTGCATTTGTCTTTGGGGCTTTTTTGTACAAGCTGAAGCTCCAGATTTCCTAATGCTGATTGTCCACTCCCACTGTGGTTGTGCTCCTAACCTGCCAACCCTAACACTTCCTAGACTGAAAAATCAATGCCAACTCTTCTGCAAAAAATCTGTCCCTGAGACTCTAATGGTTGTTTCACTCCTCTGCTTGTGCAGCAGCCAAAGTCTTTCCAAAGCTTCTGCCCTTCAGCTGCCAGCACAGATTTATTAACCTCAGTTCCTGCACCATTTCTGATTTCATCCCACTTTCTTCCTTTACCTTTGTTTCCTCAAGTACATAGCACAGCATAATAATTTCCCCAGTGTGGCTGATCCAAGCACAACTTTCAAATGCTAGTACAAACCACTTTAAAGACAGGATATATGAAAAACATTAATTGATTTACATTTCTGTAGCAACTTTTAACTTTGAACTTTCTTTGTTTCAAAATCAATTCCTCCATTACTCATTTTTTGCTAGTATGTGTCTCTTAACGATATTGATATGCTAATATGCAAGCAAAAAAGAATCACAATACAATTACAGTCAATCTACAAAACAAGAGGTTAGTTCAAACTGCAACTAAAAAGCTCCTTTTAAATATTCAATAAATTTCATTTGTATTGTACATCATGTTAATTAATTACTAAAAATACACATAGGTCATGTCACACCCTTGGATATTTTATTACATGTAAATAGTGCATTCTTGCTGATCTAGCAACAAATTATAAATACAGCAATTTTAAAATGAATTATAAGAAAAAACAAAACCAATTTTCCATTGTTAGATTTGATTGCTATTAATAAATTTACCTCTTTCCTGAGTGAAAACCGTTTTATTAGCAGGTAAGGTTATCATGTATTGGGTTTCTTCTCCTTTATCTACCTCTTTAAATACTCATAAGTTTTAAGTATGCTTATATTTTGCAAAATATAGAAAAAACAGAAACATCTCTGTGAGGTTAAGCATTCAGTCTCAAGGGTGTTGTGAAGTTACAATTAATTAATGTCTGGTAAGCAGCCTGAAATCCTCAGATGAAATAATCTGTATAAATTCTGATCTACCTTACGTAGCTCACACTGAAAGTGGCCCAAATATATTCTGGTACAGAAGATACCAATGAATCATACTACGTTGTTATTATTATACTACAAAATCTGTTCATTTTACAGTGAAAACTACAAATTTTCTAACTGCAAGCACTGTAAATCCACAGGGGGATTTGAAAGCCTTGGTGATTCCTTCTGTCTCCATTAATTAAGATGCCACAATCAAAGCTTAGCTGATAACATGAACTGGAAAGGAACCAAGATTGACTCTTAGAGAGATGACCTGTACAGAAACAACTTCAGACACAAGTCCTCCTTAAAACGAAAGAAACAAATCTGGGCAGGTGCAGACCTGCCAAGTCTCATGTACTGAGGGTTAGATTTAGACTGACTCTCCCCTCCTGCTCCTGAACAGCAGGATGCTCCTCCAGCACATTCAGTGGGCACTGTCCACCTGAGCACATGGAAAGGATGCTGTTTCACAGTTCTCATTTTTCTGCAAAAAACATGCATTAGATCCTAAATTGCCAGAGAGCAAAATATCAAAAATTGCATTAAAATAGCAGGCTTGGAATTTAGCAAACAAAAAACAGTACTCAAGATATTTCTACCATCTGCCCAATATGAGCATGTGTGACAGGTAGTGCCTTCAAGTTAGGAAACATATTATTATCCCTTTTTATAGGCATGGAATTGATAGATATTGTCAAAGGCTTCTCCCAGCTAATCTGTGAGACAGTGAATAATTCAACGTGGGCTGTCTGTACCCTGAAGCTAAAACCATCTTTAAGAATATGCCAGGAGGTGAATCTTGAGACTTCAACCCTGCTGTGCCAGGAAGCTAGGAATCCTCCTTGGCACATGCAAATGTTTTGCAATTCAAAGCCAAAATCCAAGGCTTGTGCCAGTGGAACCATTTCTGCTCTCCTCACCATGCAGGGGTCTGCTGAGATGCTCCAAAACTAAAGAGGAGAAGCAGAGGCCAAAGTATTTTTCCAGGTCCTAGGCTTGCTCACTGTTGGTGGAAACTGGATTAACCACAGCAGCACTAGGACTGGTTATTTCTTCCTTTCTCCCCTCTTATGACAGCACAAACCAGCAAACTCATGTAGAAATCTATTATCTATAACTGCAAAAGCTGAAAATCTGAGGATTTGGCTGCATTCCTTTGTGTTTTGAAAAACAAACTTTAAAATGAAAAGGGAGAGGTTCCCTTTCAATAATCTGCTTTTGTATCACACACTCAGAAGAAGCTGTTCTTAGTTATCTGAAGGGGTGAGGAATATTTTGACCAAGGGAGAATAGTAGAAATAAACTTCGTAAGGTGACTAATCATTAAATTAGCATAAATCACCTCTCTGTAACAGGTAGTTTAATTTCAAATGAGTAACAGTGACCCCAAAAAGTCAAAGGCAACTTTAGGTAAAACAAACTACAGAATACTAAAAAATTATCATCTGCTTTGAATTACTGTAAACATTATTTAATGCTCTGTATTTTAAAACAAAGCAATTACTTTATATTGTGCCAGTTTCCAAAGATGAGATTACCCTATTTTTTATCACCAACTCCCAATTACACTCAAACTTCTAGAACAAAAAAATTCTTTTCTGATTACCATTAGATCTAAAATTTAAAACCATTTTTGTGGTATTTTGTGTCTGTGGGTGTCTAAATGCTTCCTAAATGACACCTACTCATGTTAGGTTACATTCAGATTTTTCTCCTTATTTCATATCTGAATATCCCCTCTTGGTAATAATACTGCCTTCTTTCATCAACAGGCTTTAGACATGTCAGAAATATGAGTCAGTATCAATAGCCTAGTATTATTCCTTCTGTCTTCCCAAGATTTGTGTACCTTTTAAAACCTAAATACACTATTCTGATGATAATGAATGAAAAGAAAAATAAATTAATCTCTCACCTACGTTCATCTACACATCTACAAATAATAAAAGTTATGACAAATACAGCAGAAAAAATTCTAAATTTCCCATGAAACACAAGCTGCTGAGTAAGGTGATGCCTTTATCACATGATCTATTTCAGTATAACACTGCATATTAATAGAAAAATGGATAACTCTTTAAATGTCCATGAATAATCAACTGGAAAAACCTCATGATTCTATGAATAAAATATACAAACAACAGATATCAGAGGCAGTATGACAGTCTTGGTAAACTCTGAAAGAGGAAATTACTACACCAGTAGATTAAAATGAGCAAATATATACGTCAGCACTAAAACACACAGAGCAAATACTGCAAATACTGCTATGTCCTGCATACTCTCATCAATCTCACCATTTGTTGATAGGAGTGAGTGAGCTGCATTTTGCTGTGGTAACCACTTGATCTTGTTTATTTTTTCTTCTATCTCCAAACTCTTCAAATAATCAAATTCAGGTTCATGGCTCTGGAAAGTGCTGTAAACATTGTACTCCCCCTGATTGTAAGGCTCATTTTTACTCTAGGGAGAATAAGAACAACAGAAACGTTGTTTATGACAGCAATATATCTTCATCTCTTAGGAAAGGTGTAGAAACAGCCTTACAAATATAAAAAATATTAGTAATGTAATTTAATTTCTCATTTAAAGCATGATATTGACAGATGTGTTTCAGCAAGAATAAAATTTCCTGTGAGTATTGAAACACTTAATATTAGAATTTTTGAAGAAATGTCAGCTATTCAGGAAAGACTTCTACACAAGATACTGCACATGAATGGAATTTACAAGTGGAAAATAAAGGTAAGTGAAGGTATTGTTTTAAACAGAACAGGGTTCCATTATCAGGAAAAATCTATTAAAACAAGAAAGAAGTAAAACAAAAATAACCTTCTTTTATCTTATATCAGAATTTTGGAGCTTTGAAGCATTTTTGTTTGGGGCAGCAAACTTAAGAGTTAAAAATCCTTACTCTATTTCACTTCGTCTCTGAACAGATGACACTCTGTTTTACTGAATCATGAGATTATAAACAAGTTTGTTAATTCAATTCAAATAAAGTGTTAAAAATTAAGCCATGTTTGCTCAGGCTATTGAGGATGACACTGGTAACCCACATACCTCAGGTTCCCTTTGGAATATAACAACTCGGCCCCCCTTGTCACCAGTAGCCAGCAGTTCTCCAGTGTGGTTGAACTCAACTGTAGAAATAATATCAGCTGGAGGAAGAAAGAGAAAAAAGGCAGATTTTAGACTGCTGCTACAACACAAAGTCACCAGAAATATCAGGCACTCCACAAAAAATGCAACAAATGAGGGATTTGAAGGAATACAGACGAATTCACTAATGCAAACAGGCTGCATGCCATTACAATCTAATGAAACAAGTGCAAACACTAAAGAGGCAAATTTGTGTTTCCAGCACATCTGCAGTTTGGGGGAGGAGAAGCTCTCTGGAGAGGTTATGCTTCAAGAAGAGCCATCTTGGGTGGCTAGAAAGCTTTTTTTCAGTACTGGCAAATAACAAAACTGGCTTTGTGCTATATGCCCTAGCAAGGACCAATGTAACATCAGTTCTCTTGCATGTATTATTTATTCTACAAGCTATCTGGTGATTTTAAAATAACCCTCTAGCAATAGTTTTCTCAAATATGTATTGGAGTCAAAATGCAAAAGCAAAGTATGTACAGCCTGTCCTACCACTGAGGAATGAAGGCAAAACCAGAACTGTTCACTGTGCGGTGCTGGCAAGGGCCCATTCTAATCACTGTTTTCAAAAAATCTTTTCAGCACCGTAAAAATGTGTCATCAGAAGACAAAAAGAATCTCAGTCTCTCTTCTAATGATTTTCAACAACTGCCTTCCCTAAGCAATCTCATCAGCTTAAACAAGAAACCTCATCAAAACCTGAGGCCAGTCTTGAGCACAAATTACTACACATAAGGATGAGAGGGAGAAAGAGGCTCTTGGAGCTAAAGAACTGGTTCTTCTGTTTGAATGACAGTACATGCTAGAATCAAAATCCACAGCTAATCCTACACTATTAGCATAATTTGAATTAAAATGCCTAGTGCAATAGTAAATTAAGAAACCATCATATATACAATCACAGGCAAATGCAGGGTATTACTCAGAGACTGCATGTATGAATCCTCCATAATGATCAGTATTCACTCATCAGAAACATGGGCCAGATTTCAGAAGCCTCAGTAGTTAGGAGCTCCCCTTTAGGCATAAAAAGCTGCAGCTCCCAAACACGTTCATCATCCATCAGTTTACAGGGAGAACAATGAAGTGACAGTGGGCTAAGCTCTTTTGAGAACCTAGCCCCAAATGAGTTCACAGAAATTCAAAGGAATTGAAATAACAAGTGGATGTACCATTTACTTGATACATTTTATGAATTGAAAACATCTGTTCCTATTATTCTTTTAATAAACTAGCAGTTTGGTGTTTACAAAGTGTCTGTTGCCAGTAGCTCTCATCAGCAACACAGCCATCCAAAAGCCAGATTCTTACTCAAACATGATAAACTATTTACCATCTAAAAAAGGAAAACTTTACTCCAATCACAGTAAAGAAAAATATCTTTTCGTATTTTAAACAAATCTTCACCATCAAATTCTTCTAAATCAAACCAACATTCCTCCATTCTTTTCCTCTACTACCCCAATACATAAAGGAGGAAAAGGAACCATAAATGGATGTGTAGACTTTGAGAAAAATGGCACATGAAGACTTAGAGTATTTTTGGTCTGAATCCAAAACTTCTCAAAGGTAATGGCATTTGATTTTTATGTGGACTTCCACAGACTGCATATTTCATAGATAATAACTACAAAAGCCCGAGATTCACCAAAGTACGGGAAAAGGACAGATACTCTGGTTATGTTTCATGATGCTCTGGGGTTTGCAATGGGTTGAAGAAATAAAAAGGGTTGTTTTCTAAAATCTAAAATTCTAATCAACTTTCCTGGCATGTAAAGTTCATTCAGACTGCTTTCAATGGAAGAACATTTCTTGGCTATTTTCTCCTCACCCTACAGAATTCATACTGACAGTAGGTGTGGTCACCTGCTTATAAAATGACAGCTGCATGATTTTACTCTTTCAAAGCTGTATCTCACCCCAATCACACAGGCACAACTGCAGAAGCCTCATACTGGTACTCCTTTTAAATTGTGCCTTATCTTAAGTGTGCAATGGGGAAGAAGGGCAAATGCAGAGGGAGAAATGTAGTATTAAAATATGTGTGTGTGTATGAGTCATGTTCGTGAGACTTTCTCAACAGGCCACAAAAGAATAAGATAAAGTAACTTCAGTAGGAATGAATGGCATTGGACATATATGTGTGAATACACTTGCTATTGGCCAGGAATAGTTCCGCAACGTCACAAATATTCTTCTCTACAGTGACATAAAAATAAAATATATTGCACTTTACAGAGGGCATCTGTCATTGCCCAGTAAAGTCCACAGCAGTATTTGCACATAATAACTGAACCAGGATTGTAATAAAACAGCTCTGCATTTTCTTATTATACTGCATTTTTCATTAAAGTATCATGCACAGTTAAATTATTGCTCAAAGAAAAGGACTGTGGGCAGTGTGCAACAATGTTATTCTGAGGCAAAATTCTCACCCCCTCCCAAGGTGTATCTTCCAAATACATCTCTCCTTTCTACTAGAAAAACTAATCCTGAGCTGGAAAATACCTATCATTTTTAAATTAACTTGTTCTGAAAAATAGCAGATCCAATATTATGACCTTATAGGCTGTGTAGCTTGTTGGTAAAAATTATCCTTGAATTGGAAAATCAGTTTTATTGATCTTGTAAATAACAGCTGAAAACAACAGCTATCTGTCCCCTGCACAGACACCACCACTCCGCCACCCCCTCAAGCATATCCAGCATATCTGTTCAGCAGGTGAACATCAGCCAAGCTGTTTTCTTACAAAGGGTTAGCCAGGCTGGCTCTTCCTAAAACAGATGAAGCAAGGTCAGAATCAATCAACAAAGCTCTTCATACTCTTCTGCAGGACATTCCCCCACATATTCATTAATGCTGCAGCAACATCAGGCACTACTGTCCCAGTCCTGAAGATTCTCCCACTGCAGAGTGGCCCCCTGAGCACACACAGCAATTAATTCCCAGATTTCAGCCTCTCCAGGATATATAAATGCACCACAATAGAAAAGCTGATGAATTTGCATTTACAGTAAGCCCTTGGCAAGGGATGGCAGAGATGAAAGACTCCTTCCAGCCTTCTTCTACACTACACCTTCCATATCTCTGCTGGCAGTGCCAAGCTTTGCACTGACAATTAGGATTATCAGAGACAGAGATAATTTACCTATTAAGAATAATTATGGGTAACCTCAATGCCAAACACTTACAATCAAACTGTAAATCCCATCTTTTATAGAACAATCTGCATTGAATCTTCCTACTCCTATTTTAAATTTTCCATCTTGTATATGCAGAAATGTACATAAACTTGGATTTAAAAGTCAAGATATTCAGTATTTTTCCTCTATATACAGGTACTGACTGGTAAAAGCAGACCCAAAACTTTCAAGAGATGAAAATACTCCAGGGGGATAAATACCTGATTATCTGGTCCAAATCCAGCCACAGCAAATTGTCCCAGTATGCAAAATGCATTACAGACTTGAATCCTGAAACTTATTTTACATATTCACAGAAAGATACCACATTACTCTACACAGAAAGATATCACAGTACTTTACAGCTTAAACTGACAAGAAGCTTTTCCTGATCCAGCCTGTGAAGTATTTCATTTACTGACTCCTAGTCACCCCTGCCCTTTCATACCTCACTAATTCCTCTGCAGATTCACAATTTACACTCCTTAAATGTTCTTAATGGCTGTGCTGTTAATGGCTGCTGCCTAGCTAGATATATTCAGGTTTTGTGACAGATCTAAGTCCATCACTGTACACCTGGGCACATCAAGGTAAATCAAGCTGGCTGTGTTGTTCTTTCCACAGCTTCATGAGTATTGTTCCAGCACAGACCCAGGCAAACGAACCCTCCAGCAGCCCTCCCTCAGGCTGAGTGCAGGGATGAAACAAGAGATGTAACACAAGTTAATTTTGGCCTTTATTTCACAAAATTACATACTTTTCTATGTTGACTTTCTAACCTCTCACAGTTTTATTTAAAGGAATAAACTATTAAAAACCATACAGAACAACAACAGGTCCGAATACCTCTATAATGAATTAGAAAAGCCTTACCTATATATTCAATCTTCCTATAATTTTGGGGCACTCAAGTGTAACAGCATGCGATTTTCCACCTGATATGCACTCAGTGAAGCTAACTCTGAACATACTTACACATCCTCATACAGTCTTTTGGTCTCAAGCAACTTTAAGAAAAACTCAACTGTAATTTTCATGTGTTATTTTTACAAAAAATTTCTACCTTTCTGGAACCTTTAACCTGAAGATTGTGGGGTTTTTCTCTATTTTTTTTTTTCAGATGATCAGCAAAGCAAAGAAAATTTTGTAATTATTTCATCCAGCACACAAATGCATCTTTTTGAACAGCACAGCAAGTTTCGAGGGCAATCACCTTGCAACAGTACAGGGAAAAGAAGATCAGAGAATATAATCTTCAACTGAATTCCAGTGTAATCCAAACAGAGAATTAAAGGATTTGGAATGAGCCAGAACACTGGAATTAACAACAGTACTCTTCTCTAAGAAAAAAGCTGTGAAATCCTACCAGCCAGAACAGGTCAGAACCTGGCATTAGCATCACACCCAGCACAGTCAGCACAGCAACACAGCCAGCCTGAGCTGACTGAGCAACATCTGGGCCAGGTGTTTGTTGTGTGTGTTCCCAGTGGCTAGCAGGCAGTCTTGTAGTCTACGTTATTTCAACCAAGTTCTGACCTGGCCTAACCTTGGTTTGTGAAATCCAATAAGATCACAGCACAATCTGGCATGGCTGCAAGCAATGTTCAGTCATACTGATACAGAAGTCCCTGAGGAGAATAATCTGGAAGAAACAACAAAGAAGCCTGCAACAAAGAGAGCCATAAAACAAAAGGACAAATGGCGAATAAAAGAGGAGCAGTGTTACAGTATCTCAAATGAAGGGACAGCCAATACAAAGAACTGTGCTGTCAGAATTTAGTCAAGACTAAAAAGAAAAAAAAAAGTAGGCAAAGAAAAAAAATAAATT